TCCAATATTCTTCCTGAACCGTACTTTGTAGATTTTCTCCGTGATATGCCTGAACCAACGGGTGAGGAGCCTGAAGATACTGCTTTTGAAGTCCCCAAAGTCTATGAATTGGTATTTATTTTCATCCCTCAAGAAAAAGTTTTTTGGGCCACTTACCTAACTGGATAGTTCTTCCTGCCTCCCCCTACCCGGGCCTACCATGGGGTTGCTATAACTTCTTATTTCTTTGTGTGTTGTGATTCATAGTCATCATGGACCAAGTAAAATAGTTCTTTCAATGAAATTTAGCAAGAACCCCTTTAAAGTCCGTTATAAGACAAGCATGCCTGCTATCACCCCTATTATTTAATATTGCTTTGAAAGTTCTAGGCAGTGCAATAAAATGAGGAAAAGAAAATAGGCATAATTATCAGATAGGAAAAAAAATCAAAATATCATTGTTTACAGATGACATGATTACCTACTTATATAAATCCAAGAGAACTGAAAACCTATTTTAACTAAGGAAAGTTTAGTAAGATGGCCAAGTATTAAATAAACATAAAACTCAATAATTATCCTCTATACGAAGGGTTGGCAAATGACAATTCATGGGTCAGATCTAGCCTACCATTTGTTTTTGTTGGATCTGTGAGCTAAGAAGCGTTTTTAGTTTGCTTTAGGTGAAAGTTTATAGCTAGTTTATACACGTTTTGTGACATTGGTTGCAGTCCCCACAATGTGACAGCATGTTCCTCCTCCCTACTCTGGGTCACCTGTGTCCGTTGGTCCAGTTGCTGTCCCTTCCTGCCGTCTCGTCCTGCTTTTGGACAGGAGCTGCCCATTTGGTCTTGTATATTTGATTGAACTAAGAGGCACATTCCTCACGGGTGTAATGTTTGGTTTATAGGCCTGTCTAATCTTTGTCTGAAAAGTGGGCTTCGGGAACGGTTTAAGTTCTGGGTTAGCAGAGTATCCGAGGGGACATAGTCTCAGGGGTTCCTCCAGTCTCTGTCAGACCATTAAGTCTGGTCTTTTTACGTGAATTTGAATTCTGTTCTATATTTTTCTCCTGCTGTGCCCGGGACTCTCTGTTGTGTTCCCTGTCAGGGCAGTCTTTGGTGGTAGCCGGGCACCATCTAGTTCTTCTGGTCTCAGGCTGGTGGAGTCTCTGGTTCATGTGGTCCTTTAGTCTTTTGGGCTAGTATTTTCCTTGTGTCTTTGCTTTTCTTCATTCTCCTTTGCTCCAGGTGGGATGGGACCAATAGATGTATCTTAGATGTCTGCTCAGAAGCTTTTAAGACCCCAGACGCTACTCACTGAATTGGGATGTAGAACATTTTCTTTATAAACTCTATTATGCCAATTGACCTAGATGACCCCTGAGACTATGGTCCTCAGGCCCCAGCCCTGGCTACTCAGTCCCTCAAAGTGTTTGGCTGTGTTTAGACACTTCTATGCTTTTGCTTTGGTCCAGTTGTGCTGACTTCATTTTTAAATGGTTAGAAAAAAGTCAAAGAAAGAATAATATTGTATAACTTGAGAATCACATGGATTTCAAATTTCAGTGCCCATAAGTAAAGTTTTATTGGAACATAGCCACACCTCATTTGTTTACATATTGTCTATGACTGCTCTTGTGCTAAAATGGCAGAGTTGAGTAGTTGCAACAGAGACCATATGACCTACAAAGCCAAAAATGTTTACTATCTGGCCCTTTACAGACAAGGTTTGCTAACTTTTGCGCTATGCCAAGAATCACAAGATAGAAAATACAACCAAAAAGTATTTCATTCAACAACAACCAAAATGGAAAATATCTAGGAATAAACATGATAAAACAATACTTGACTAAATGATAATGCATCATTCTTCCTAAATTAATGTATAGGTTTCATGAAATTGGAAACAAGATTCCAAAGGGATTTTTTAAACAGGGTCACATAACAAAGTGATTCTAAAATGCACATAGATCACAGAATTAAATGGGAGGAAACAATACACAAAGCAGAGAAAGTAGGTGATTATTTACTTCAGAATGCCAAGGACTTGTGTATTTGACTACATAAAGAATGTAAAATGTATGTATATTTTTAAAAAGCCATAAACAATATTAAAAAGCAAATAAAAACTGAGAAAAATATTTGTTACATTCCAACTTTAATTACCATGGGTAGAAGTTGGTGCTGGGCTTCTTGAAGGGAAAGAGCAGAAATGATTTTGTACTGGAAACTTCCAACTAGTACCATTAGGTTTTAGGCCTCAGAAAATGGAAATAACTCAAAGCAGATTAATATGTGACGGATCTCTGGAAATCCATAGGTGTTTTTGTTTTTTTTTAATTTTATTTTTCCCCCTCCCAGAATTACTTTTGAGTTCTTTTACAATAGCTACTTTCATAAATATTTGGATCTTAATAAATAAAATTTTTCTTCCTCCCTATCCCCCAGATACCAAGCTTTGAGTTCCTGTCTGAAAAGCTCCAGTTTTACCAGAGACAGTTCAATGAAATCATTAGAGGAACATCTCTTGATCTGGTGTTTTTTAAAGATGCAATGACTCATCTTATCAAGGTTCTAACTATTGACTATTTACTGATCTAAATAGATTGCGTAGAAGCTTAGTAAATTTCATAGATACTTTTTGAGAGAATAAATATTTACCAGGTAGCTTATAGAAGAATGTCTATAGATTGGCTCAGTTCACTGTCTCAGAAAGCAAAAGCCCTGATGGAAACCCCTTATTTGAATCCATCTGCATGACAGTGAATGTTTTTCAAGGACAAATTAATGGCTTTTGTGTTCCAAGCTTTTGACACACTGAGTCAAAGACTTTTCTCTTCCTAGAACATAACCTGGAGAAGCCTGTGAAGAAATATTCCCTTCTCACGTTATATTTTGATATTATGGGAATCCTGTTCCCCATGGAGTTGATGCTTTAAAAATGTCAATTTCGTGATTGCCTTATAGATTATGGACAAACTGGTGTGGAAAGAGTAACAGGGATGTATTACCAGTTTACCAGTTGCTGTGAAGTTGATTCTGACTCACTGTGACCCCATGTGTATCAGAGTAGAACTGTGCTCCACAGGGTTTTCTTTCTTTCTTTTTTTAATAATTTATTTTATTTTTTGTTGTTATTGAGAATATACACAACAAAACATACACCAATTCAACAATTTCTACATGTATAATTCAGTGACATTGATTACATTCTTCAAGTTGTGAAGCCATTCTCACCCTCCTTTTTTGAGTTGTTCCTCCCCATTAACATAAACTCATTGCCTCCTAAGGTTCCTATCTAATCTTTACAGTTGTTGTTGTCAATTTGATCCCATATAGATAGTTCTTAAAAGAGCATAATGCTCAAGACAGACATTCTTTACTAGTTAAGCTAAACTATTGTTTGGTTTTAAGATGACTTCAGGGGATATTTTTGGCTTAAGTTTTAAAGACTATCTCAGGGCAATAGTTTTGGGGGTTCGTTCAGCCTCTGTGGCTTCAGAAAGTCTGAAGTCCATGAGAATTTTAAATTCTGCTCTGCATTTCCCCCCTTTTGATCAGGATTCTTCTACAGAATCTTTGATTAAAATGTTCTGTGCTCCATAGGGTTTTCAGTGGTGGATTTTTCAGAAGTAGATCTCCAGGCCTTTCTTCTGAGGTGTCTCTGGGTAGACTTGAACCTCCAATCTTTTCGTTAGCTGCTGAGAACATTAACCATTTGCACCACCCGGGAACTCCACCGGGGAGTATAAACCCATTGCCATCAAGTCAATTCCAACTCATAGCGACCCTGTATATAGGACAGAGTAGAACTGCCCTGTAGAGTTTCCAAAGAGCAGCTGGTGGATTCGAACTGCTGACCTTTTGGTTAGCATCTGTAACTCTTAACCACTGCGCCACTGAGACTCCAAAGGGGTATATCCCAAAACCCCATTGCCATCGAGTCGATTCTGACTCATAGCGACCCTATAGGACAGAGTAGAACTGCCCTATAGGGTTTCCAAGGAGTGGCTGGTGGATTCGAACTGCCAGCCTCTTGGTTAACAGCCAAGCTCTTAGCCACTGTGCCACCAGGGCTCCAATAAAGGGGTTTATAGGACTGGTGAAAAAATAGAAGCCAACTAGACGCAGCAAGAAAAATGAGCATGGCTTAATTCAAATCTGAAGGGCTGCAGAATGGAGTTGTTTTCTTGTATAATTGGTTGGTGTAAAGCAGGTTTCTCCAGGAATAGAGAACACAGAGTAGGGAGGTTTGATAAAGAAGAGGCAATTAGATACGTATTTATTATCTAGTCGTTTTCTGCAAAGTTGGTGAATTTTCAGACGTTCTAGGGCAGTTTTCACATCCATCCATCCATTCAAAAAGTAATTATTGAGCTCCCACTGTGGCTAGGTCTTGGGGACCTGGGACATAGTCCTAGGTGCAAAAGCACAAAAGTGATTAATATATGATAAGATTAATATATATTGAGGTATTGCTACTGATCTGCCATATGTAAAATGTGCCTTTAAAAGACATGCTTTTTAGTGGTGATAATGGAATTAGTGACCCATCTAGACTTTCTCCCTAATCAATGGCATTAATGTAAAAGACAGCTTCTCGGCAGTGTCTTTAGCTGACCTGCGTAAGAGTTGAACCACAATGCCAGCCTTACCCTCACTGAGGAAATCAACCATAGAAGAGCAGTTCACAAAACTAAAGGCTGTCTAAGTCTTTTTCTACAAATGCCCTCCCCCACAACCATTGTAAGTAGAATTTTGGTACTTCTAAAAAATTTTCATTGGCAGAGACATGATGGAGATAGTATTTGTTGTAGAACCAGGTGTCTACATAAGTCAATGTGTTATACTGATAAATAAGAAGAAAACAACTCTAAATTCTCTACTTGTATCTCCTGCAATCTGGGAAGAATAGCTCCACCATGTATTGAGTTCAAAAACGATAAAATCACACACACATACAAAGAATAATTTTGAGATAGAAGATGGTAAAGCCAAATTGTTCTGTTTTTCATGATGAAAATATAGATAGGCAAGGAAAGAATTTAAATTGAATAAATCAAATATGAAACTTTAATTTTAATTATTAACTTTTACAATTCTGAGCTATACAATCACAAGGAAAGTCTCTAATTTTGTCTAGAAATGTATGGCCAAATTTTGGACCCATTTAGTGCAAGAAAAGGTAAACATTTGAATCCTGTTTTCAAATAAATGGTTTTTTTGTTTCAAACCAGATTTCTCGAATAATTCGAACGTCATGTGGAAATGCATTACTGGTGGGTGTTGGTGGCTCGGGAAAACAGAGTCTTTCAAGGTTGGCCTCTTTTATAGCTGGATATCAGATATTCCAGATAACATTAACCAGGTAGGATAAAATAAAACATGACAGTATATTTTTCCATAGTTAATTTCTCTAGAGTTAAATGTTTACTTAAAAAAATTATATAACGATTTGGTAGATTTCTTTTTTAAGCAAACTTTTTATTGAAGTTTAATATATATAAGGACATGGATGCAAATCATGAATGTTGCAAATTAAGGACACCTATGTGGCCAGTGCCCAGATAAAGAAATAAAACATTACTGGCATCCCAGAAGCACCCCTCCCCATGTCCTGTCCCAGACCCTCCCAAGGATAATCACATTCTGATGTCTAGGCACATTGACTTAGTTTTGCCTATTTTGGACTTCATGTAAATGGAATCATGCAGGATTTATTCTTTTGTGTCCTCTTCCTATTGCTCAGCATTATGTTTGCCAGATTCATCCACATTGCTACATGTAGCAATGGTTTGTTGGTTCTTATTGCTATATCGTATTCTGCTTTATCACACATTACCACAGTTTATCAGTGTTTAAGTGCTTGGCTGCTAACCAGATGTTTGGCGGTTAGATCCCACCTAGCAGCTCCTTGGGAGTAAAGACCTGGTGATCTGCTCCCATAAAGATTACAGTCTAGAAAACTCTATGGTGCAGTTACATGGATTTGCTATGGGTCAAAATTTATTCATTGGCACCTACCAACAACAACTGTTTATAAAGATTCGCTCCCCTCCCCCAGAGTTTTTGGTCTATTACAAATAGAGCTACTATGAATATTCTTATACGAGTCTGGGTATACTCCTAGAGGTAGAATTGCTCATATAGGGAGGGTGTCATGTATTGAACTGTGTCCCCCAACAATGTGTGTCAACTTGGCTAGGCCATGAATCCCGGTATTGTGTGGTTGTCCTCCCTTTTGTGATCTGATATAATTGTCCTATGTGTTGTAAATTCTAGTCTCTGCCTGTGGTTAATGAGGCAAGATTAGGTTATGTTAAAGAGGATTAGGGTGGGTTGTAACACCCTTACTCAGGTCACAGCCCTCATCCGATGTAATGGGAGTTTCCCTGGGGTGTGGCCTACATCGCCTTTTATCTTATAAGAGATAGAAGGAGAGAGAAGCAAGCAGAGAGGGACTTCATACCATCAAGAAGAAATGCCAGGAGCAGAGCACGTCCTTTGGAACCAGGGTCCCTGTGCTGAGAAGCTCATAGACCAGGGGAAGATTGATGACAAGGACCTTCCTCCAGAATTGACAGGGAGAGAAAGCATTCTCCAGGAGCTGGCACCCTGAATTCGGACTTGTAGCCTCCTAGACTGTGAGAGAATAAACTTCTGTTTGTTAAAGCCAAGCACTTGTGGTATTTCTGTTACAGTAGCACTAGATAACTAAGACAGAGGGCATGCATATGTTCATCTATAGTAGATCTGAAAAATAGTTTCCCAAAGTGAATGTAGCAATTTACACTTCCACCAACAGTGTGTGAGTGTTTCAATTGCTCCACATCTTTGTTCACTGTTGGTGTTGTGAGTCTTTTTCATTCTATGAATTCTAGTGGGTCTGTAGTGGTATCTCACTGTGGTTTCAGCTTGTATTCCCCAGATAGCTAACGATGTTGAGTACCTTTTTATCCTTCATTGGCCATTTGGGTAGCCTCTTTTGTAAGGTGTACCTGTTCACATCTTTTGCCTATTTTTTTAATTGTGTTGTGATTCTTTTTCTTATTGATGGTTAGGAGTTCTTTATGTATTCTGAATACAGTTCCTTTGTCTGAGTATGTATTGCAGATATCTTCTTTCAGATGTTGGCTTACCTTTTCACTCTCTTAACGTATGTTCTGTTGAACAGACTTGTAATTTTAATGAAACTTAATTTATCAATTTTTCTTTATATTTAGTGCTCTTTGTATCCTGTTTAACAACCTCCATTTACCTGAAGTTTATAAAGTTATTCTCCTATGATTTCTTTCATATTTACAACTATAATTTAGTATTTTCATATTTAGAACTATAACCTACCTGCAATTTATTTTCTTATAAAATGCGAGATAAGGGTTAAGATTATTATTTTTTTGATATAGGCGTCTAATTGATACAGCTTCGTTTATTGAAAGGTCATCTTTCCCCTGCCATATCATTAGCGTTGTTTTTGTCATAAATCATGTATGTGACTATAGTCTGTTCCGCTGGTTTATTTATCTGTCTTTGCACCATCACCCACTATTTTAATTACTGTAGCTTTTTAATGTCTTGATATTAGGTAGTATAAGCTCTCCAAATTTGTTGTTCTTCTTCAAGATTGTCTTGACCGTTTGTCTCTTTCTATTTCCACATGAATTTTAGATCACCTTATAAATTCCCCTCTCCCCTCACACCACTTTGCCACCAAACAAATAGAAAATCAAAATTTAATAAGATACAACTTATAAGAACATTTAAAAAAAAATCAGATACCTAGGGATTAATCAAATTAAATCAAGCTTAAAATTTTAAATTAGTTATCAACATTTAAAAATTGGGAGACTTCACCTTAAAAAAAACATATTTCTGACTTTTCTTGAAATAATGGAAAGATCTGGCAACAGTGGGTCTACACTGACATTTGACTGGAGTTGAGCGGCAGCTGCATCTGTAGATAGGAAAGCAGTCCTCCAATTTACCAGAGACTTACCAAACCTGCTTCACTCATTGGCATTACCTGACTGAACCTGTAGATATTTGAATTTGCCGAGGTAGGTGCTGCTACACTAATGGCAGTCAGAAATGACAGAGACCTAAATGAAGGCAGGGAAAATGGGATCAGAGAGGAGGAGTCAGTGGGGACAATATAAAGTAGGTTAAGATGACAGGACTTTGCAACTGATTGGATATGGGGTGAAGGAGAGGAAACAAGAAAGAGTCTGGGATGACACTCCAATTTCTCCAGTGGTTTTTAATGCTTGTTCACATTTCCGTCTCCTTCACTAGTCTACAAGCTCCCTGAAGACGGCAATTGTAACTTTGTCTTGTTTACCATTCCTATAAAGTGGTAACTTTTTACTAACACTATCAAAATATGTTGAACAAATGAATAAATGACCAGCTTTAAAGGGGTAAAATGAGAATTCCAGTGGTTAAGTGCTTGGCTGCTAACCGAAAGGTTGGTGGTTTGAACCCACCAGCCACTCTGCGGGAGAAAGATGTGGCAGTCTGCTTCTGTAAAGATGACAGCCTTGGAAACCCTGTGGGGGCAGTTCTCCGCTGTCCTGTAGGGTCGCTATGAGTTGGAATTGACTTGCTGGCAACAGGTAAAATGAGAATTCAGTTCAGAATGTGTTGAGTATGAGATGTTTACAGAACCTTCAGGTAATTAGACGAATGGGGGTGGAGTTCAGGAGAGAGTTCTGGAGATATCAATATGGAAGTCTCAGTGCAGAGAACATTTTTAAGTCCATGGGGAGCATAAGTAGGTGCATAGTGGGGAGAAAAGATGGCCGAGGAATGAATTCTGGGGTCTCCTAATGTAGCGAAAAAGGGCTTGCAATGGAGAGTGACAAGGAGAGGCCAAACAGAGAGGAGGAAATCCAGAGTGGTTTCCAGAAACCAAGGTGGTCAAGAGTTAGTCTGAAAATGCCCATTAAGTCAAGAAAAGTAGAAACTAGCAATCCATGTGACAAAGCTTTCAGGAGAGTGGATGGGTGCAGAAGTGAAGCTGCAGCGATAACAAGTTTAGGACACTTGTCGAGGAGATTGATTATGAACGAAAGAAGCAAGAGAGGCCAGGATCTAGAAGGGAGTGTGCTGTGACTGTGTCTATGTATTACAAAAGCAATACACAACAGCCAGTTTAAAAAACGAATCAGTCCACGTCTGGTTGCTTCAGACCCTGACCTGTCAGTGAGATGATTACTCCAGTAGCACCAGGCTGCACCTCTCCGGGAGGATGTGGGCTGTGTTGCCCTCCTCACAAGGGGAGCTATGGTTCAGCGAACCATTTTACCAACTTCTCTTTTTAATGAATTTCTCCCCTTTGGAATTATTCTGAAAGGGTTGTATTTTCTCTGTTTGATTATGCTCTGTTTGCCTAAAAGAAACAAACAAAAAAAACAAACCCATTGCCATCAAGTCAATTCCAACTCATAGCGACCCTATAGAACTGCCCCACAGGGTTTCCAAGGAGCACCTGGTGGACTTGAACTGCTGACCTTTTGGTTAGCAGCCATAGCTCTTAACCGCTATGCCACCAGCATTTCCTAGGTCTACAATAATTTCCCTCTAGTGCCACCGCAAGTGGGTAGCTAGTACTTTTAGTTTTTTTTTTAAAGGTTGCCATCAGTCGATTCTGACTCATAGCGACCCTATAGGACAGAGTAGAACTGCTGCGTAGGGTTTCCAATCTGTAATCTTTAAGGGAAGCCCTGGTGGTGCAGTGATTAAGAGCTTGGCTGTTAACCAAAAGGTCAGCAGTTTGAATCCACCAGCTGCTCTTTGGAAAGAAACTCAGGGCTTCCCTGAAAGATGCAGCAGTTCTACTCCGTCCTATAGAATGACTATGAGTCGAAATTGACTCGATGGCAATTTTTTTTTTTTTGTTTATATCTTTACGAAGCAGATTGCCACATCTTTCTCCTGCGGAGCAGCTGGTGAGTTCGAACTGCCCGCCTTTCGATTTGAAGCCGAGCGCTTAACCACTCTGCCACCAGGCTCCTTGCTCTTGAACACCTTAAAATAAGCATTTATTCATTTAAGTGCACTTAAATTTCATCTAAGGAGCCCTAGGGGCGCAATGATTAAGTGCTCGACTGTTAACCAAAAGTTGGCAGTTCCAACCCATCAGCAGTTCCCCAAGCGAAAAGACCTGGTGATTTGCTCCCATAAAGATTATGGCTTAGGAAACTCTATGGGGCAGTTCTACTCTGTTCTATAGGGTCACTATGAGTGGGAATCGACTTGACGGCGCCCAGCAGCAACAACAACAAACTTCATCTGGAAGTCTCTGGGTGGAGCAATCGGTTTTACGCTAGACTACTAGCAGAAAGGTTGGCACTTTGAACCCACCTAGAGGTGCCTTGGAAAACAGGCTGGTTGATCTGCTTCCAAAAGGTCAGAGCCTTGAAAACCCTGTGGAGCAGTTCTACTCTGCACATATGGGGTCGCCATGAATTGAAATCAACTTGATGGCAACTAACAATAGCAACAAAACATCTGTAATGCCCACAGCCACCTTACAAATAGATATTACCAGTATTTTTGCAGATAAAGAAATAGAAGTTGAGAAACGTGAAAGAACTTTTCTAAGATTGCAGCGTATGGGTTTGAGCTTAGGTCTTTCTTGCTCCAAAGCCCATAGTGTTTCCATTAGACCATATGGTTTATACTTCCTGTTACTTGCACTGTAAAATTTCCTTCAAGTGACATTTCTTTGTAGTCTTTGTCATTGACTTACTCATCAGAACTTACATACAGCACTCCAGAAAATGTCTGCTTTTTTAGGAAACATCATATTGCTTCTGGTAGCACACACATTTAGCAGAAAACAGAGTAAGCAGAAAACAAAGACCAAGATCTTCTCTTTTCATAATCTGTAATCACATAATTATAAAATTTCTATTATTTATACCACATTGTGTAATGCATCTTTTTCTTTAGGCTTCTTCTATATCTAGACACTTAGCCATGCAATTTGCTGCTATATGTAATTTATGACTAATATTATTCACAATTTATTGTGAATTTCTCACCAATCCAAACTCATCAAAGTTAAGTTTCAGATATTACCCTTATATTCACTTGGGCAAAATCAGTTGCTGAGAACTATCAGATTGCAGGGACTAAAAAGTTTGTTTCCTTATCCTCAATTACTTTTCATAGATTACTTCTGGTAAATTCCCCATGTCTCAGTTCTCAAGTTAAAGAAAACATAGTTGTTTGAAAGTAACATATAGACATTTAACTCTAATCTCTATGTTTTCTAGCAGGCACTTTAACTTATGGTGTGTTGGAGCAGGTACAGGTTATAATTGTCATGAGTTATTATGTTTTGAGATAAATTGTGACTATATATTTTATAATTTTAAAGTTCCTACCACTTTTCTTTTTAGGTCTTATAATGTGAGTAATCTAACAGAGGACTTAAAATTTTTGTACAAAGTTGCTGGTGCTGATGGAAAAGGCATCACCTTCATCTTTACTGACAATGAAATAAAAGACGAGGCATTTCTAGAATATCTTAACAACTTGCTGTCTTCAGGGGAGGTAGGTCTCCAAAGTTGAGAAAAAGTGCATATTTAAAAATTTTTAAGTCATATTTAAGTAGAAAAAGCAGCAACCCTTCAGAAGCGGGGCCAATTAGCACATACTTTTGATTTTAGAAATCATTTACATATGAGATTTAGTAAATTTTTTGAAGTTCCTATGAAATTAATGTTGCCAACTTCCAGATTTTTTGGATGCTTTGGTCAGTTTCAAATATTATTCCTTATTTGTCTCTTCAATCTTCAGATTGATCCTAGGAGAAGCATAGTATTTATCTGTATCTATGTTGGTTCACTGGTAGAATTCTCATCTTCCGTGTGGTAGACCTGGGTTCAGTTCCTGGCCAATGCACCTCATATGCAGCCACCATCTGTAAGTGGTGGATTGTGTGTTGCTATGATGTTGAACAGATTTCAGTGGAGCTTTCAGACCAAGATGGACTAGGAAGAAAAGCCTGGCAATCTACTTCCAAAAATCAGTCAATGAAGACCCTGTGGATCACAGTGATCCTATCTGACATCGATCATAGGGATGATGCAGGAATGGGCAGTGTTTCATTCCGTTGTGAATGGGATCACCATGAGTCAAGGGCCAACTCAATGCCAGCTAACAAGAACAATGATAACGTACCTCTAACAGAGAGGAGTATAGAATGGTTGAAAGAGTTATGTTAGGTATAAGTAGCAGTAAGCAGTAAGTGTCACTACTTCTGACACCACTTGAGTCAGCACTTCCATGACCACTCACACATTTGGTACTTCGTTAGAAGGGCTTACGAGACTCAGCGTATAGTTTATTCATGGCTAAGATTTATTACTGCAACACAATAAGGATACACAGCCCTATCAGTAAAGAAAAAGATACATCAAGTGGAGTCTGGAGGGAATCAATACGCAGGCTTCCTATGCTCGCTCCAAAGGGACCATACAAAGCGTGTTTTCCTTCCATCAGGAAAGGCAGTAACATGTGCTGTGTTTCTGCCCAGGGAAACCTGTTTGAGACTCAGAGTCCAACGGTTTTATTGGGGCCCTGGTGATGCAGCGGTTAAGCAGTTAGCTGCTAACTGAAAGGTCAGCAGTTCGAACCCCCCAGCCACTCCGAGGGAGAAAGATGTGGCAGCTTGCTTCTGTAAAGATTACAGCACTCGATGGCCATGGGTTTGGTTTTGTTTTGATGTGGTCTTGTCTAGCTTCAGCTCACAAAATTCCAGATTCCCAGAAGGAAAGCAGGTGTTCATTATATATCACATTGTACATGCAGTCTAGGCACAGTGGAACAACCTTATCCGTTAGTAATGGAGGAAACATTCCAAAAATCAAGTTCCCAGATGCCAGCCCAGATGCCAGTTGCCAGCCCTGCCAGCACGTCCCTTGTAAAGAACAGACGTGCTGTATGAACTCTTTCCTAAACAATGGTGTATACTGATGCTTAATTGTGCACAAACTAGTTCAGTATCTTGGAGCCAGAGTTAGGGAGATTGATTGAGTCGAAGAACAGAGAGCAGCACGGGACAATTTAAAGAGATAATTGAAGTGGTGGAGGAGATAGCTTTTTGGTGATAGCTATCTGGAGCAAAGGGAAATGTAATTTGATCTTGATCAGGCTGTTCAACAGAAAGTTGGCAGTCTTGGTAATTTCTGGCAAACCAGGGATTTAACTGTGGAAATGCAGAAAGAAAATATTTAAAAAGATGATGTGTGAGGAAAAAAAGAACCAGACCTTGGCAGTGAAGTGACTGTGAGGAGCTCTTAAAACTCAATGTAGTTTCTTGTCTGTTGCTCAAAGATCTCCAATTTGTTTGCACGGGATGAGATGGATGAAATCACCCAAGGTCTGATATCGGTGATGAAAAGGGAGCTGCCTCGCCATCCTCCTACCTTTGATAATCTCTATGAGTATTTCATTTCGAGAGCAAGGAGAAACTTGCATGTTGTTCTCTGCTTTTCTCCGGTGAGTTTTTATTTTATTTCTATCTATGTAGAAGTTTTTTTTTTTTAAACTTAAATGCACTTAGTTTACCTTTTCTGATGAGATAAGTTTCTCAGAAGGTAACATTTGTAACATTGAATTATAATTAATATTTCACTGCCACCAATCTCCACTTACCAAGCTTTCATACCAAAGGGTGATAACTTACAATAGGCATATTATTAGAAATTATCACGTAGTTTACAATTTTAATTAACTACCTAGAACTATAGATTGTTTTTTTGATTGGTAATATACTCTTGTCCAGTTCTACCTCCAATATAGATATACCATCTAAAGTGTCTCTGGTATAGGTTCTGTTACTTTCTAGCTCACTGTGCTGTCCAGCATAGTAGCTGTTAGCTACATTTTTCTATTTAAATTTTAATTAATTAAAATTAAATAAAAGTACAAATTCAGTTCCTCGGTCACACTAGTCTCATTTCAAGTGCTCAATAGGCACAAGTGGCTGGTGGTTATTGTCCCAGAAAGAACAGATGTAGAGCATTTCCATCATCACAGAAAGTTCTATTAGATAGCACTGCTCCAGGGGTCCCACTAACTTAACAAGCCAGCCTGCCTAATTTTTAGGTAGTCTAGTTGCCAGAAAGGAGCCCTCGTGGCACATCGGTTAAGCGCTTGGCTGCTAACTGAAAGGTCAGTGATTTGAACCCACCAACCACTTCGAGGGAGAAAGATGTGGCACTCTGCTTCCATAAAGATTACAACCTTGGAAATCCTATGGGGCAGTTCTACTCTGTACTATAGGGTCGCTATGTGTTGGAATCAACTAGATGGCAATGAGTTAATTGCCAGAAAGTTCTTTTTTATTCTTTTTACAGTGAATTGAATTTAGCCTGTCTGTACTTTTCCCCTCTGATTTTGATTCTGCCCTGTAAAATGAACCAGATCCCTTGCCCACATGAAGCTTTTGGATGTTTTGAGGAAGCATTTACAGACTCCCCAAGCTGTTTCCTTTTAGACCAAATATCTCCTATTCCGTCACCTGTTCTCACTTGTCAGAGTGTCCAGGCTTTTCATTGTCCTGGTCAGGTCTCTCTAGAAGAGTTCTGGTTTTTTCAATTTCCTTTTTAAAAAAGTATCTCTAAAATCAAACCCAATAAATGCCGATGTAGTCTTAGGACAAGGAAGACAGTGGAAATATTGCTTCCTTTCATCTGGACACTTAATTTATATGTTAATGCAGCCCAAGAAGATGATTTAAAAAAAAAATTTGTGATGTTGGGCTGCTGCCTCAGAATGCATAAGACTAATAGGTGTATGTTCTTTCTCTAGCCAATTTATAACCCCTTTGCGTTTCTAATGCTTTCTGTCTTTGCCGTCCAAAGGTTGGTGAGAAGTTCCGTGCCCGTTCTTTGAAGTTTCCTGGTTTGATATCAGGCTGCACTATGGATTGGTTTAGTCGCTGGCCGAAGGAGGCTCTGATTGCGGTGGCCTCCTATTTCCTTTCAGGCTACAATATTGTCTGTTCTAGTGAAACTAAAAAGCAAGTCGTAGAAACCATGGGCCTCTTTCATGACATGGTTTCAGAGAACTGTGAAAATTATTTCCAAAGGTAAGTGGCATGACATAAGCCTGATAGCTGCAGAGCCTCAAAGTTGACTCTGAAGAGGAATTCAATGTCATACCCAGGAAAGTATTCCTCATGGTGATTGAGTACTAAGTCCCAGCTGCACTTAGATTTTTCTTGCTTTGACTCTTCTAGTGATTATGCATTGAAAAGATGATAAATCAGTGAGATTTAAAAATTAACTAGTGTCCACACTTAAATACCATTTTCCCCTCCAGACCTCAAAGTAACAGATGCTTAATGAGTCACTTTATTTCATTTGCTTAGTTTCGTTTTGAAAGTGCCTGGACTAATTCATTATAAATGGTTCAAATTAGTTTCTTATTCAAATGTATTATTCATTGTCATTAAAAAAGTACCTTGTTTTAAAGTTTCTTTATTGCCTTATGTTAACGGAACATTGAGGTTTTGTATTTGCATTGCTTAAATTTTATCAATGTTTTTCATGCCAAATAATTATGAAACAAAATTTTAATTGACTGTTGGAAAGTACACTCGCTAAAAACAGTGTTGGTGTTCATTATGTGAAAACCGGTGTAAACAGTTCAAAAATATCCATTTTCCCCCAAAGCATGATAGTCAATGTGTAAAACTGATGAGTGTAGATAAAGGTGGGTTAACATTGATCTCCAGAGCAGTGAGCTCCTCCCTGTAAGTTAATGGATGGGCTTCACAGAGGGACTCCTTTCAGTGGGTACAGTGCCCCCTAGAAAGGTTATGCCTATTTTTGTGCTTGGAGAGTCTGGGCAGCTCTTCCATCAACTTTCTGGGGCGGTCCCTATCACAAAAGTTTGCTATCCTGGACCCTCTCCTTTACTTAAAGCCACCTATTTTAAAGAAGTTTATATAATCTATTAGCTTCTCTTGGTCAATCAGTGTGTATTAATTCTTACTGTTAGGAAGATTTTCTTTCTACCTAACTTGAATTCCTCCTGCTACTGTCATCTGTGGATATAAATTTTTACCTTCATACAACTTCAAAAGCCTATTTCATTTTTTTTTAAATTTGGTGTATTTGCTAAAATTTTCATATCCTTTTAAGTTGTAAAGGTTTATTCTCAATGTAACATGTATATAACTCTATAAGGATAATCACATATATACCCAAGTCCATAAAACTTCAAAAATGTTAAACGTTCTTCAGAACTTCAAAAGTGAAAAAAAATTGATGTAAATGGTAGTATAACTTCATAGTATGTGAAGAGCTCTTCTTTCATCTGAGTTTCTTTTTTTGTTTGTTTTTTGTTTATTGTTGTAGTTTATATGAAGTTTACATTTCAATGTAGTCTCCCATACAGAAATTTATACACACATTGTTATGTGACCCTAATTGCTCTCCCCATATTGTGACAGCACACTCCCCCTTTCCACCCCTAATTCCCCAGGTCCGTTCAACCAGCTCCTAATCCTCTCTGCCTTCCCATCTTACCTCCGGACAGAAGCTGCCTGTTTAGTCTCTTGTATCTACTTGAGCCAAGAGGCACACTCCTCACGAGTATCACTTTATGTCCCACAGTCCAGTCCACACTGTGTCTGAAGAGTTGGCCTCGGAAATTGTTTTAGTTTTGGGCTGATAGAGAATCCAGGGACCATGCTTCCTGGGGTTCCTCCAGTCTCAGTCAGACCATTAAGTCTGGTCTTCTTACTAGAATTTGAGTTCCGCACCCCACATTTCTCCTGCTCCATCGGGACTCTCTGTTGTGTTCCCTGTCAGGGCAGTTATTGGTGGTAGCCGGGCACCATCTAGTTCTTCTGGTCTCAGGCTGATGAAGTCTCTGGTTAATGTGGCCCTTTCTGTCTCTTGGGCTACTACTTTCCTTATGTTTTTGGTATTCTTCATTCTCCTTTGCTGCAGGTGGGTTGGGACCATTTGATGCATCTTAGATGGCCACTCGCTAGCTTTTAAGACCTTAGACACCACTTGCCAAAGTAGGATGCAGAACATTTTCTTAATAAGCTTTGTTTTGCCAATTGACCTAGATGTTCCCTGAAAGCATGGTCCCCAGACCCCTACCCCTGCTACTCTGTCTCCCTCCCACCCTCATAACCATCAAAGAATGTTTTCTTCTGTGTTTAAACCTTTCCTTGAGTTCTTCTACAATATTTTTTCTTCTGTGACTGACTAAATTCACTCAGCATAACGTCCTCCTCCAGATTCCTCCATGTTATGTTTCATGGCTTCATCATTATTCTTTATTGTTGTGTAGTATTCCATTGTGTGGAGGTACCGTAATTTGTTTATCCATTCGTCCATTGATGGGCAACTAGGTTGTTTCCATCTTTTTGCTATTGTGAACAGTGCTGCAATGAACATGGGTGTGCATATATCTATTGGTGTGATGCCTCTTATTTCTCTAGGATATATTCCAAGGAGCGGGATAGCTGGATCGTATGGTACTTCTGTTTCTAGCTTTTTAAGGAAGCATCAAATCAATTTCCAAAGTGGTTGTACCATTTTACATTCCCACCAACAATGTGTAAGTGTTCCAGTCTCTCCACAATCTCTCCAGCATTTATCATTTTGTGTTTTTTGGATTAATGCTAGCCTTGTTGGGGTGAGATGATATCTCATTGTAGTTTTGATTTGCATTTCTCTAATGGCTAATGATCGTGAGCATTTCTTCATGTGTCTGTTAGCCGCCCGAATATCTTCTTTGGCGAAGTGCCTGTTCATATCCTTTGCCCATTTTTTAATTGGGTTATTTGTCTTTTTGTTGTTGAGGTTTTGCAGTATCTTGTAGATTTTAGAGGTTAGACCCTGATCAGATTTGTCATAGCCAAAAATTTTTTCCCAGTCCATAGGTTGTCTTTTGACTCTTTTGGTGAAGTCTTTTGATGAGCATAAGTGTTTGATTTTTAGGAGCTCCCAGTTATCTAGTCTCTCTTCTGGAGCTTGTGCATTGTTACTTATGATTCGTATTCTGTTTATGCAAAAAAAAAAAAAAAAAAAAGAGTGTTAGAGGAGCTTGCCATTGGAGTGGGGAGATGAGAGACTATGGAATGGAGAAAAACAAAAAGAAGAAGAAGAAAAAAAGAAAAGAAAAAAGTGAATAAATAAAAATTAGAAAGAAAGAAGAAAAGCAAAGCTGCCAGGGATCCCTCCAGTGCTGCGAGGTCTGGGGAAGTTGCTTCCAGGCCTGACTAGAAGGGGTTGAAGTGTCACTCAGCACAAGGTATTCAGGAGACAGGAAGAGAAGGAAAGCATAGAGAGACGAGAAACTGAGTAATGAAGAAAGACAAAAAGGGGAAAAGAAAACAAAACAAATTTAAAAAAAGAACAAGAAAACCCCCCAAAGAAAAACAAAAAACAAAAAACCAAGAAAAAAGAAATGCCCTCAGGGATCTCTCTGCCCATCTGTGCAAACTGAGGGGGTAGGTCCCAAGCTGCGCAGCACTGCCCTCCTAGAACGGGCTCCCAATTTGAGAAAAGAAAAAGAAAACAAACAAAAAAAAATTCAAAACAAATAAAAATGTCCCGGGATCCCACCAGTGTGGCAGCACTGGCCAGGAAGCAGTTTCACATTTGAGTGGCATTTCACAGCCTTTCAGGAAGAAGCAAAGATGGGGCATGGAGCCAGGTACTGGCATGGAGGGGGAGGTGGTGAGAGGTAAGGAAGAAATCAAAAGGAGCGGAAAAACCCAACACCAACAGCCAACAAATGGCACTTAGGGAGCCGATCAGTGTGGGCAGGTGGAATCCAAGCGACACCAGGGTGAAGGTGGTGCTTCCCGGCCAAGATACTGCCCGCAGGAAGCAGAACAGGCCGAGTAGGGGTGAAGAAGGTGGGGGGTGGGAAAGCATATATCGCTAGTTACTGGTTGTTCTGTCTCCTGCTGGAAGCTCCATGAACCTGCTTTCTGGTACCCCCTGTTCGCTGGTCTCTGATAGGAGTCCAAGATGGCAGATCTGTGCTGCATTAGCTGATAGGGGACCTCTGCATGTAGCTCTCCTCACTCTCTGTTCTCTGTCAGTTTCTTGTTCCATTTGGTGCTTGGCTGAGTTCTTTATCTCTTCATTTGATGCTTAGGGTTTCAGGATTGCCGTTTTCTCTGTTTGACTTCATTTTTCGGATCTTTGCTGTGGAGGGATGGCATTGTGCTTCTGCCTATAGCGCCAAGTTGCCCGGATGTCTCTGTTCTTCTTCTTGAGAAATGCTTTACTTATCCGGGGACTCTTCCCTTTCCATATGAAGTTGGTGATTTGTTTCTCCATCTCCTTAAAAAATGCCGTTGGAATTTGGATTGGGGTTGCATTGTATCTGTAGATCGCTTTGGGTAGAACTGACATTTTCATAATGTTGAGTCTTCCTATCCATGAGCAAGGTATATTTTTCCACTTATGCAGGTCTCTTTTGGTTTCTTGCAGCAGGGTCTTGTAGTTTTTATTGTATAGGTCTTTTGCGTCTCTGGTTAGATTTATTCCTGAGTATTTTATCTTCTTGGGGGCTATTGTAAATAGTATTGATTTGGTGATTTCCTCTTTGAGGTTGGTGTAAAGGATTCCAACTGATTTTTATGTTTCTCTTGTATCCTGATACTTCGCTGAACTCTTCTATTACTTCCAGTTGTTTTCTTATGGATTCTTTGGGGTTTTCCATGTGTAAGATTTTATCATCTGCAAATAGGGATATTTTGACTTTTTCCCTACCAATTTGGATGCCCTGTATTTCTTTTTCTAGCCTAATTGCTCTGGCTAGGACCTCTAGCATAATGTCGAATAAGAGTAGTGATAAAGGGCATCCTTGGCTGGTTCTCATTCTCAAGGGGAATGCTTTCAAAGTCTTTCCATTTAGGATGATGTTGGCTGTTGGCTTTGTATAAATGCCCTTAGTTATATTGAGGAATTTCTCTTCTATTCCTATTTTGTTGAGAGTTTTTATCACGAGTGGATGTTGGACTTTGTCAAATGCCTTTTTTGCATCGATTGATAAGATTATGTGGTTCTTGTCTTTAGTTTTGTTGATGTGATGGATTACATTGCTTTT